CGCCTCAGGCCACTCCTCTGTCTACTCGCCACTCGCTCTCAGCTCTGCCTTCAGATGAGTCCGTAGAGCCGAGTGGCCCGTACCCAGAGCTATTTGGCTGCCTCATGTACCTGATGACCTGCACACGACCTGACCTTGCATACCCTCTTAGCATCTTGGCACGCTGTGTTGCTCCTGGGAGACACCGACAAGAGCACATGGCTGCAGCGAAGAGGGTGTTGCGCTACTTGTGCAGTACGTCAGGCATGGGGCTAGTGCTTGGAGGGCGGCGTTCAGTGGTCCTCACCGGTCACGCAAACGCTTCTTGGGCTGACGACCAGGCTACGCAGCGGTCGTCACAGGGTTACACCTTCAGCCTTGGTTCCGGCTCTGTTTCGTGGCGGTCTACCCGCTCGTCTTCTGTTCTCAGCTCCAGCTGTGAGGCCGAGATCTACGCGGGGGCCATGGCTGCATAGGAGTTACGGTGGCTCACCTACCTGCTGACCGACCTGGGAGATCCGCCTCGTTCTCCTCCAGTTCTGTACGTAGACAACAAGGCCATGCTGGCCTTGTGTCGGGAGCACAGATTGGAGCACAGAACGAAGCACATTGCTCTTCGCTACTTTCTTGCTCGTGAGCTGCAGCAGCATGGTCAGCTGCGCCTTGCTTATGTGGCCTCTCGGGCCAACACTGCTGATATCTTTACCAAGGCACTTCCGCCTTGTGATCATCAGCGCTTCTGTACGATTCTAGGTCTTGTGCCTACTTGGCCTCACTTGCTCACTTCTTGACCTTGCTTGTACTGTGATCTAGTTATACCTGCACTTGCTTGGTTACCTTTATATACATTCCTGCATGTGAACTGGCCTTGTGGCCTTGAACCTATGCTCGGACTGTGTGGTGACGTTGTGATCCACCTTGACCTTGCTTTGTTTTGCTTTGCTTGACTGGTCTTGTGAACCCTAGTTCTCCCCCACTTTGCCTATGGGGGTGTGTGAGATATATATGACTTAGCCTGTGTAGGCTGTAGTGGGGTAGACTCTAAGGGGTACAGGTTTCTAGGGTTTCACATTTGTATCCAACTGTTTCCTAGTTCATTCATACCTCGTTCTTTCACAGAAGTGACCATAACGTAGACAGTCTAGTCGTAGGTGGGTGTTTCCGAACTTTTCGGCGGTTCGAAAATAACTTCCGTCCCACACTGTGCCGCAGCTGCCGAAAGCGCCAACGACGAACCCTCCTGCAACCACACCGGCCATACCCGGGCGGAACGACGGTAGACCCCCGCTTTCTTCGGGCAATCGTCATTCCGTCTCTCCTCGCTGTTGTATTCTCCGATGCGAATCACAATGCGCCTGGCCTGCCCAGCGAGCTGTCTTTTTACACGTGAAGCCACCCGAAATCTTCGCGCATTGTGACGACGATCACCACGCGCCGAAGACCTCCGAAAATCTCACGCGCAACATGACGATAACGCATGACGCCACGTGCTGCACACATTAACTCCCGATTTGTCGCGCGCAGTTGACGACCACATGCCGACGCAACTCGCACGACGATCGTCTCCGTCAATCTCGGACGTGTAGTGGCGACGTTTCCTTCGACGTCAGCTGCCACACAGAGTTAACTCTGAAATTGACGAAAACGCCATGCAACTGACTTACGCATTAAATGCGACGACAACAAAAGCTGTCCGCCACCCGGGGGGAGGGAGGCCACGGTCGATCTTGACCGTCGAGGGCAAGGATCCGTTGGTGCAGCAGGAGCGCCAGTGAAATATATGGCCGCTAGGAGCAACTACCCGTTCTCCTGGCCGGCTACTGCGCTGCTCCTGTCACCACGGCATCCTTCCCTGTCCCCCCCCCGAGGGGTAATACACTCTAAAAAATGGGGAACCTAGGAACTTAGGCTCTGATACTAAGTGTTATGAGTTGTACTAAGAAGAGTGCGCGGAAGACTTTATAAAAAGGATGTCGAATACAGAATGATAAAGGAGCACGCATTTATAGGGTCGAAATCGTGCTAGGCGAGGACCTTGGGACGTGGATGGGTTGGTAATGCCGAAGTCTAGGCCGAACCTCGAAACTGACGCGAAGTGCTCGTGGCAGTCCTCGCTAGGAGCAGCCTCTACAGTAATGAATTCGTATTCACCGTAATACCCCGGATAGAAGCGCACCTGCGCTTATAATAAAACATTGTTTTTTGGAGGGGTGCGCTTATAATTGAGTCAGATTTATAAGCGCATGCGCTTGTATAAAGGGAAAAATGAAAATCAATTTTGAACACACCATTGTGAAGCTCTCAATAAGGCAAATTCAACCGACCATGCACCAAGTGGGATCGTGCATGGTTTTCAGGCAGAAACCGCAGCGGTTCGGTTTCCCACCGCACAATGTTGTCTGGAAACATCGAATGTGACAGCCGTGACGAGGATGTTGTCGTGCGGCCCAATCAGAGTCGCATGCGCTGCGTGGCATGTGCATTCGGGCAGAACCATCTTGAAGGTTCGGCAAGATTCCCTGCCAGCGCAGCGTAGATGCTGCCACGCAGGCGCCTCTACGGGAGTGGGCGGGGGTTTCCTGCCTGTCATCGACGAGGAACCCAAGCCGCCACGCAGCAGGGGTCCCCGTCGTTGCCCATTTCTTCACCCTCGTCTCTAATTTTTTCATTCAGTTTCCTGTCTAGCCCGCCTGGCAGGCGAAGCCATGGCGGAATTTAGTGGGACTCACATCCTCTTCAAGAAGAAACCACGCCGCACATGGCGACTTACCGAGGACGGGTGGTATACCCGTGAGCCACCAGCGCCTCTAGTGCCACCGGATCCCCCTGCACCCCCTGCTCCTCCTGCTCCCCCTGCACCCCCTGCTCCACCCGCTCCTCCCGCACCTCCCGCTCCTCCGAATCCGCCTGCTTTTGCTACGGCAGGTGCTCACCAACGGCCCGTGCTCCAACTGTATTTACCAGCCACGTTTGACGAATGGTTGGCTGAAGCGGACACACCCAAGGCCCCCGATGCACGCATCCAAGCTCCAGCGACTGCACCACGGTGGGGACAACCAGAAGTCTGCGCGTGGGATGAGTCGGCTGTGGGCGCCGACGATGATGTGGCTACCGACAAACATGACAGCGGCGCCGGCGAAGCTGGAGGCGACGGTGAAGCTGGTGGCGACGGTGCAGCGGGCGACGAGGAAGACGTGTTCCCGTGCGACCGTGACGAGGACGAGGGCGACCGTGACGAGGACGAGGACGGTGTGGAGTCCTGGTGGCGCGACGCACCACGCGCGAAGATGCCGGTACCGACGTATCCGCCCCTTAACAAAAAACGCCCCCACCCGTCTACCGAGAATCGAGATGCCCGCCCCCCCTCCCCCAGGCACAAGCTGAATCAACATAAGCGGCAGTGCTACACCGCCCAGGAGAAGTTGAGGTGGCTCGTGCGGCTCGAGCTTGCGGCTTCGGTGAGCGAAGTGGCGCGGGAGTCAGGCATACACCGAAAATGTCTGACAGAATGGAAAGCCCAAGCGGAGGCGCTCAAGGCTGCACACGGAGCACGGATGCGACTTCACGGGCGCGGGAGGTCGTCTTGGTACCGCCCCATGGAGTTAAAGGTGTACGCGCAACTCCTCGACTGGCGACGCCGCGGAGTTGCGGTTTCGGTCGGCCGGCTGCAAGAGTGGTCCAAAGAAGTGATGAAGGTTCTATACCCGGACGTCAAGTGGAAAGGCAGTCAGCGGTGGACTGAGCGGTTCCGCAGGCGGTGGAACCTCAGCGTGCGCATGAAAACAAAGGTGGCGCAGAAAACACAGGAGCGTAAGTGGGTCGTTGTCCTCGTCACGGTCGGGGAACACGTCTTCCTCGTCGCCCGCTGCACCGTCGCCACCAGCTTCACCGTCGCCTCCAGCTTCGCCGGCGCCGCTGTCATGTTTATCGGTAGCCACATCATCGTCGGCGCCCACAGCCGACTCATCCCACGCGCAGGATTCTGGTTGTCCCCACCGTGGTGCAGTCGCTGGAGCTTGGATGCGTGCATCGCGGGCCTTCGGTGTGTCCGCTTCAGCCAACCATTCGTCGAACGTGGCTGGTAAATACAGTTGGAGCACGGGCCGTTGGTGAGCACCTGCCGTGGCAAAAGCAGGCGGATTCGGAGGAGCGGGAGGTGCGGGAGGAGCGGGTGGAGCAGGGGGTGCAGGGGGAGCAGGAGGAGCAGGGGGTGCAGGGGGATCCGGTGGCACTGGAGGCGCTGGTGGCTCACGGGTATACCACCCGTCTTCGGTAAGTCGCCATGTGCGGCGTGGCTTTTTCTTGAAGAGGATGCTCGTCCCACTAAATTCCGCCATGGCTTCGCCTGCCAGGCGGGGTTGACAAGGAACTGAATGAAAAAATCAGAGAAGAGGGTGAAGAAATGGGCAACGACGGTGACCCCTGCTGTGTGACGGCTCGGGTTCCTCGTCGATGACAGGCAGGAAACCCCCGCCCACTCCCGTAGAGGCGCCTGCGTGGCAGCATCTACGCTGCGCTGGCAGAGAATCTTGCCGAACCTTCGAGATGGTTCTGCCCGAATGCACATGCCTCGCAGCGCATGCGGCTCTGATTGGGCCGCACGACAACATCATCGTCACGGCTGTCACATTCTATGTTTCCAGACAACATTGTGCGGTGGTAAACCGAACCGCTGCGGTTTCTGCCTGAAAACCATGCACGATCCCACTTGGTGCATGGTCGGTTGAATTCGCCTTATTGAGAGCTTCACAATGGTGTGTTCAAAATTGATTTTCATTTTTCCCTTTATACAAGCGCATGCGCTTATAAATCTGACTCAATTATAAGCGCACCCCCCCAAAAAACAATGTTTTATTATAAGCGCAGGTGCGCTTCTATCCGGGGTATTACGGTAGCATTTCTAGTGATTCAGATTATAAAAACAAAATGTAATCCAGATGAACACAAAAAAAAAGTCTGATTTTCATACCATTATCCGAACTCATACCATCATTGCACAACCTACATACACATGATGTGATTTAATGAAAGCACATTGCTGGTGCTTGCCATTGTTCATCGAGCAAGGTGGCGCCAGGTTCAAAGGAGAGCACATGGAAGATTCCTCCACTTCCAAGGAAAATCCACTTCACTGGAAAACCAGTCTGCCAGCCAGTATGCAAACCCAGAAACGGAAAATGCAGTGAGGGAAACTGAGGTGAAGATGCAAAAGCAGCAGAATAGTGTTGCAGCTGGGAAAAGAATGCAGCGCGCAACTAGGGCTGGCGAATGGCAGAACCGTTGACACAGTGAACCAAGTAAAGCAAGCAGGTTCTCATTCCCTGCAACACTAATGCGATACATAGCAGAGAGAGAGAGAGAGAGAGAGAGAGAGAGAGAGAGAGAGAGAGAGAGAGAGAGAGAGAGAGAGAGAGAGAGAGAGAGAGAGAGAGAGAGAGAGAGAGAGAGAGCGAGAGAGAGAGAGAGAGAGAGAGAGAGAGAGAGAGAGAGAGAGAGAGAGAGAGCGAGAGAGAGAGAGAGAGGCCCTAGGAGCTAGTCCTTAGCCTCTCCAGCACTCTCCAGCCTAGTATAAAGTGCTCCTCTGCAGCTAGCTCTCCTCATTGTTCGGTTCTCTTCATTTGTTTCTCCTAACCGAGCGGAGAGAGAGGAGAGAGAGAGAGAGAGAGGCCCTAGGAGCTAGTCCTTAGCCTCTCCAGCACTCTCCAGCCTAGTATAAAGTGCTCCTCTGCAGCTAGCTCTCATTGTTCGGTTCTCTTCATTTGTTTCTCCTAACCAAGCGGCTCGCGCCGGCCGCCGGCCGCGCGTGAGGGAACGACAAGCACACAACACACAGAGTTGCTCGTACGGCTATACAAACATGGCAAGTCCTACCGCGGCCTAGCCGCGCAAACCTCTAATGGCAGAGCCGGAGCCCGCGTCTACATGCGGTGAGCTCCGAGGGCGTGAAGAATGCCCGTCAGGGAGCGCCACAGCTCCCGGACCACAAACGTGCTTGCGCCGATCGCGGCGGCTCTAGAACCAGCACGCAAATGGTGCCGCAAGCCGCGCACAGCCTCATCAACGGCCCCGCCGCCGCAACGCCTCCCTCGGCGGGCGCAGCCAGCACGGGCGCCAGCAGCCCTGCAAGCTGATCGGCTGCGTCCAGGCAAGAATCGCGATGTCGATCCAGGAACAACTCAGGGGGGGGGCGCAGGGAGAGACGGATGTGCAAGAACCTGTATCAGAGGCAGTGCGTGAAAGCTCTCCGCGAGACGGAAGAGCTGGCCGAGGGTCGCCTCCAGAACACGGGCCTGAGGGGGTTGCAGCGCCTGAGCAAGGAACTGGAATGGCTCCTCAACGGCAAGAGGAGCCGGGCCACCCGCCGTCACCGCTCCGCCTCCCACAGCCACAAATTCTACTCCTGCCACGGGCGGGACGGGCGGCAGATGCAACCGCGACCCTGGAACGGGAGCAGACGCAGCAACAGCGGGAGGCGATGGGGCCGGAACACGAGATTGGACTGGTGCAGCAGGGAGCGGAACCTCAGGCTGCGCCGCCTGACGCTGAGCTGGATAGGCGGCGGCAACGTGCGAGCTGCCTTGGGTCTGAGCAGCCCTCTCCTCACGCATCGCGGTCGTTACCGCCCTTTGCAGATCCGCCATCCTCGCGGGCGGATCATACGATCCTCCGCCATTGCGACCGCGAGGACCCCACCAGCCATCGCGACCGCCACGGTGCGCTTGCCACTGACCCGACTGTTGATTGCGCCGGGGAGAATTGCGCCGGCGCCGGGAGGACACCCGATCCTGTTGGGGCGCTGGAGAATGGGGGCGAGATAGGCGACAGTCCGGCGAGGGAGGACGAGACTGCGACGCCAGCTGCGCCTGCTGAGCCACGGGCGGCGCAACAGGGGCAGCCGGGTCCACTGCAGGGGGCACAATCAACTGTGCCGGGCCGCCAGTGGTGGCGGACGCCGGCTGCGGGGACGAGGCAGGCGCAGAAGTCTGCGGCTCGTGGCCAGCAGCTGGTGGCCCAACAGGAGCGGGAGCCGGGAGTGCGGCGTCAGTCTTTGTCGGGGCTTCAAGTGGAGCCTGGGGAGCAGTTGGCGCAGATGGGGCGGACCGCTCAGCGGCAGCAGGGGCCGCAGACTGAGCGGCAGCTGCGGCAAGGGGAGCCGCGGGTTCGGGGCGAGGAGGCTTTTCAGCGGATGTTGTCGAGGGCTTCGGAGCCAGAGGCATCGGGGGCTTCGTCGCCGTGGTCGCCTTTCCGGGCTCAGACTGAGGCTTGGCGACCACTGCCGACCAGGCGGCAACGCGCTCTGGCGACGGCTCGGGAGCTCCACCAATCACCATCGCGAGGTCGGGCAGCACGGGAAGAGAGGAGGCACGCGGTTAGCGGAACAGGCGGATGGCCGGAGAACGGGTTTCAGGCTGCGGGACGTCAGGCTTTAATTGCTCTAGTAGCTGCCAATGAAGAAGGAGAGAGAAATGACCCCTCTGATACCGCGGAAGCGGAGCCAGAGAGTGAAAATGAAGATGAAGGGGATGGAGCAGAGGCAACGAGAGTAGGGACGGAGAGGAGAAGACCTGGGACAGCCAATTTACCCACAGCGGGAACAGAGGGGCGTGCAGGGCCATTGGATGCTGATCGAACGGATGAGAATCCAACTCGGCAGCAATCAACGACATCGAGTCGTGCACGCAGACATCGGACCGCATCCCTCCACCCTGTGTCAGGATCGACCCCGCAGCGCCCCCACTATTTTTCGCCAGTGGAGCTGGCGGAGATGGGGGACAAATTCGCTGACATCGCAAATTGGGACATTTCCGCCCTCTGCGACCGTCGCCAACCGCCGCTGTCGAGACGATTACCGCCAAACCTGTGCCAGTTATTTTCGCTGGCACTCCTGACCCCGCTACACCACCTCTCGCGAAACCCTGATTCCGAAGCGGGTTGGAAACCGCTTCTTTTCCTCCCGCGTCTGACCCTTCGCCAGGCTTCGCCAAAACACCCAAATTGGCCGCAAATCAAGGCCCGTCTTCGGACTTTCCAGCGTGGCGAGTGGTCGCAGCTATACCAGGATGCGGTAAACGCGGTCAACGCCCCTCCGCCCCCACGCCACCGACCCGATGTGACAGGTGTACTGAGCAGAGCTGAGGGGTTGGCGAAACGTGGCAGTCTGCGCCGAGCCGTGCTGGCGCTCGAGTCAACACCCGTCTGTACACCGAGTCCAGAAATCCTGGACGAACTCCGACAAAAGCATCCACCAGCGGGAGATGAACCGCTGACCTGGCAAGCAGCCGACACTCAGCCCCTGGGCATTTCCCACGCGGAATTTGCGAAGCTCCTCGGGCGATGCGAGAATGGTGTCGGTGCCGGACCTTCAGGTACAACATTTGAGCACCTGCGCGATGCTGCAATAACCAATGCATCCGTCAGCACCCATCTGCACGCCTTAGTTAATACAATTCTGGGGGGAAATCTCCCAGATTCGGTGGCGGACCTGCTCACACCGTCTCGACTCATAGCCCTGGCCAAACCTGGGGGCGGGGCCCGACCAATCGCAATAGGCGAATGCCTGACGCGGCTGGCTGCCAAGGCTGCGCTCTTGGTCATGGGGGATGCTGCACGTGAATACTTCCTACCCCTACAGTACGGCGTGGCAGTGCCAGGTGGAGCAGAAGCAATAATTCATGCCGCCCGAACGTACGTGGATGGCCACCCGAACAGCCTGGTACTGCAAGCCGACATCGCGAATGCTTTCAACAATATTTCGCGACAGGCTATCGCCGTTGCGTTACAAGAACCCAGCCTTTCGCCACTGCTACCGCTGGTCAAGCTGACTTACGGTAACCCGTCGCAGCTGCATCTGGATGCAAACTTTACAAGCGACCCCTTGCAAAGTGAACGAGGCGTTCGCCAGGGCGATCCACTGGGCCCTCTCCTTTTCGCGGCGGGGATTCACCCCACACTTCGCGACACTGCAGCAGCGCACCCTGATGTGCTTTGTTTGGCGTATGCGGACGACGTGACCTTCGTGGGGGAAAAACGTGCAACTGTAGCTGCCTTCAACCACTTCACCTCAAAGCTGGAATTCCTGGGCCTGAAGCACAACCCGCAGAAGTGCACGGCATGGAGCGCACGCACGTGCGACTCAACTGAGCTACCGCCAGAAGTTCCTTTCAGCAAGGACGGCGTTCGGCTGTTGGGAAGTTTTATTGGTGCAGCAAACGGGGCATCTGCTTTCCTGGCTGGGCAATTGGGGGAGATGGCCAAGCCCTTGCCACTCATCGAGCGGGCAGATCCGCAGGTCGCTTCGCTGCTGATCACGCGCTGCATCTCCCGGCGCGTGGCGTACCTCACACGGACGACCCCCTTCAATCTCGTCTCCCGGGACACTTGGACGCAGTGGGGCCGCGATCTCTTGATGACATTGCTTACCTCGTGCAATATCCGAGCTCCAGCGGGTAGAGCAGAACAGTCGCGCGTGTGGGCTCAGGCGACCCTTCTTCCGTCTCTTGGGGGTGTAGGGATTACAGACCCTCTCATCGAGGGCGTATACGGATTCGTCGCAAGTTTCACGCAGGCGGCGCAGCTCTTCTCCACGCTCACTCTGTCCCCGGATTCTGCCCTGTTGCGCGCATTCGGCCATATGCTCCTGCCGAGAGACGAGAGCACTCCACTCCACTCCTGGCTCACTGAGTGCGAGACCACCCTGCCTTCAGATGCGCGTGAACTGTTGGAACGAGAGCGACTGAAACGGACGGATGTGAAGCTGCAGCACGCCCTCGCCCTCCAAGTCCACGGCAGTCGCTACGCGGTGCAGGTTTAGGAGACGAGGAAGATGCCGCTGAATCCGCTTGCAGGCCACACGCAGCGGATGTTTTCCTTGACGGGATACGGCACTGGGGATTGGTTGACGGCGATACCAATAGCCCCGAACAGGCGCATTGGACCGGTCCACTTCGCCAACGCCGTCAGATTTCGGCTCGGCTTGCCCTTCTCCACTCCCAAAAACTGTGACTGCGCGGACCACACAGCGATCACCGACCCCCGCCTCCAAAATCACCTCCTACGCTGCGGCACCGGCAAGCACCGCATCAACACTCACAACGAGGTCCGTGACGCTTGCATCAGCATGGCCCAGGATGCGGTATTCATAGTCCACAGTGAGTCGGCGGCCCATTGTCCCATCGAGGAGCAGACGGCCGACTTCACCATGACCGACAGGAGCAGCGGGGCAGTATGGGTGTGTGATGTGACTTTGACTGACCCTATCAGCACACGGGACCCGGAGGCACAGAAAGGAAGGGGATGGGCGGCCAGAGAGCAGGCAGACAAAAAGATCCAGCACTATGCAAGTAGACCTGAGACGGTTGGTTTCTTCCCGTTGGCGGTGGAGACCTATGGCTGCCCTTGTGCAGAGGTCCCCGTCTTCCTCAAACTCCTGGCAGACACGGCGGCTCGGCGCCACTTCAACGCTGATTCTAACTCCTACTATGCCGCTAAGTTTCTGCATCAGTTCAGGCAGCGGTGGTCGGTTGCACTTCAGAGAGCACAGTCAGTGGGGTTGCTCATGAAGTTGGGTGAGGCGGCAGCCGCTGAGAACCCCCCGGTCGGGGGTATCGGCCAAGAACTACACCTAGGAGATTGCTTTGCTGTTTTGGAGCCACTTGTGGAACTGTAGATGGGATAGGCTGGGACTTGCATGCTTACCGAACCTGTACGTATGTACCTTTCGGCCATATCAATATACGGACCATTAGAGAGAGAGAGAGAGAGAGAGAGAGAGAGAGAGAGAGAGAGAGAGAGAGAGAGAGAGAGAGAGAGAGAGAGAAAGGCACCTCCATGTCCTCGTAGTAGAGAATGAAGTCGGCCTTGGTCCACACGCGGCAGCGGAACTTGCCGTCCACCACCTCGCCCTCCCTCACCAGCACCGCCCCCACCAGCCAGTCCGGCCGCAGGATGCCCACGGGGAACTTAATCACCTTGCACGACCGCTCCTGCAGGTTGTAGTAGAAGCTGCGGGCGCAGGGTGAGGCATGGGGGAGACGGGGAGTGACGGCGAAGGATTGAGAGGAGGCAGCACAGGGAGTGGGAGATGGGAGGGCGAGAGGACAAGGAGCGGTGGCAGTGGGCAGCAGGAGCAAAAGCAGTTGGAGCACCTGTAAATGGCCATCTTTATCACCACCCACTTTCTTCCCTCTCCAACGCAGCAAGGTTTGCTTGCACGCTCTGCCGCTATTCCCGCACACTCGGTGTATAATTTTTAACTACAGAGTGCACGCACCGACTCACGTATTTCTGATTCCTTCAGCGTTTCCCTTCGTCCCAACCCATATCCCGCATCACCCGCCCCTCCCCCCCCCCTCTACCCCTTCCCCGTCACCCACCACCCTGCCCTTCTCCCCATTCGCTCACACCGCCCTGCTCAATCCGCCTCTTCCCAAGCCCCACCTCCCTCACCTCCGCACCCAATTTCCAGCCCTTCTTCGCACACACTCTTCCCCATTACCCCCTCCCCACCTCCCTTGACCACGCCCCCGCCGCACCTTGTGCCGTTGCTCCACTCCACGTCCATGAGCGTGCCCGCCGACAGCTGCGGGCGGATGGCGTTCATGTTGCGCCCGCCCGGCCAGTCGTACCACAGCTCCGTCAGCGCCAGCCGCCCGCTGCGGTTCTGGAACAGCACCGCGTGGAACCGCTCCGGCCACAGCCGTGGCGCAGGCGGAAACGGGGTCGGGGGCTCCGCGGAGCGCGCGGACGCAGAGGCAGACGCGGAAGCTTCCGCTGATGGTGTTTTTGACGGATTTTGTTTCTCCGCCGCTGATGCTACGGACGATGCCGTCTGCACGCGCGCGGGTGCTGACACGTGGTCCGCATTTCGGGGCCGTTGAACGCCACGAGGCGCGGCGCGGAGCTGCTGGAGGAGCGAGTGGGCGGGAGGAGCGCCGGGGGGAGCATGCTTGTAACGGGGGAAGGACGACAAGGGGCTTGGGTTCCCGCGTAAGGTAGACGTTACAGTGGCGTCGGGAAGGGGGAGAGCAGCGAGTGGGAAAATGAGGGAGAGGAGGAGGAGGTATTGAGACAGCTGCGACACCTGCGCTGCACTAGTAAGGAGAGACATTTGTGTCTGGGGGAAGAGAAAAGAAACTAACTAGAGTCGGTTGGTGTGAACGGACATCCCAAATTTGACGGGCCCCGAAAGTTATGTCCAATCAAGTTTGGTGAAGAAACTTTGGTGGGCTTCAATCAAGTCTGGTGCTGCTCCGAAACCGAACCAAATTTTGGGCTTCGTTTGTGGCTTGGGGGTTTGGCGCCAACCACATTGCATGCCCTGTGTCGCGCGCGAACTGCTCGGATGGCAGGATTTCGCGCGACACTGCTCAGCTGCGTTTTTGGCTACCTCAAAGATGTTACAATATGCAAAGCATTTTCTTTGGACTGCATACATTTGCATATGTTTACTCTTCCACAAACAGAATCGTGTGCATAACATTTTCATGTCTAGCAAATATCGTCGCACAAAAAAGGTTCCTCATGTAACTTCAATCAATTTCACATTGTGAAAAAGGATTCATAGAAATAGATAGTAAATAATGGCGCAATCTGTTACGAATAGTAATTATTGAAACATCACTATGCACTCCTCACCGCAGCAAGCGAAGAACGCACTACCGAGGTTGAAGGCGAAAGGGCGGAAGTAACACGAAAGGTCGCACGGTTACGGTAGCATCTGGACCGACGGGCAGACAACATCATGCAGCAATAGTGGCGAGGATTTTGCACGAAAAGTTCCGTAACCACCCGGAGTCGCACGGTTGCGTATCGCTGCGCTGCAATAAGGAAATGTACCCCTTAGAGTAAATGGCTAGCTAGGTCGATTCGAATTCCCCTGTACTCTTATTTATATTCCTTGTACCTGCATGTTTTACTCATTTCAAGCATTTACATTCACTCTGCTATTGAGGTTAAGGGCCCACCACCAGGGCTTTTTTTTTGGATTTTCACTACTCGGATTTCCAGAGCTGTTTTCTAGAGAACTCTGAAATTCAGGGTTCATTGTGAGCGTTACTCTGATTTGTCAGAGAAAACTTAACTTCTGAAAAATCTACTCTGGGCACCCAGTGTACCTATTTTTCCAACTCTGAGTGTCCTCTCAAGTATTGAACCCAAGCCCTCGGCACTCCTACCAAAAGAATTGAGCGTTGTGCTACGCGCTCACCAATTCAGACTTACTAATTTATATATTTATACAAAATGCAACAATTGGGGGCACAGAAAAGGCCGGGGGGAGGGGTTGTGACACGGTGAAATGCCTATACCCTGTACAGAGAAAAGTATATCGGTCACAAATATACACTGGTCTCTCAGAGTAGCTAAAATCAGAACCCTGACAAATCAGAGAAAACTTATCCTCCATAAAAATTACCCAGACACGTCAGAGTGACCCCCTAAAAACCACTCTGATTTTCAGGGAAACAGAGTAATTTACTCTGATAAAAAAACCCCTGCCCACCACTAAATCAGTACTGTGCGAACCTTCTTGAGGTGATCCTGGGTTTGATCATACTTCTTTGATCGCAACATGGTATGAGAGCGACTCGGGAATCCTTCGAACTGCCATCTCCAAAATCTGCGACATTCGGAAAGTGGCGTCTGGCATACGATCGCGTGTGAGAATGGCCGCAGAATCTGGTGTCAGAACATTATAGCTTATGCTTTTGTGTAGGTTGTAGTGTGGTAGCCCATATGGGGTACAACCCAATTAGGGTTAGTACTTGTACCCAACTCTTTCATAGTGCATTCATTCTCGTTCTAGTTTTCTCATGGTATCGAGCAGGTTCCCTCGTGGGAACTGTTCCTAGGGCCCACCAATTCGATTTTCTTTTTCCTGCCCGGAGCGCGCTCTGTTCCTGCCCGAGTCGCGCTCCCCTCTCTTGACCCTCTTGCGCCGCCTTATCGGCCCCGTCGCGTCGCGCTGGAGGCCCCGTCGCGTCGCCCTCACGGCCTCATCCCATCGAGCCGCCCTAGCGGCTGCGTCCCGCCGCCCTAGCGGCTGCGTCCCGCTGCCCTAGCGGCCCCGATCCGCCGCCCTAGCGACCGCGTCGCCTACTCCTGCGGCCCCGGCGCCGCCCTTCCCGGCCCCGACCTGCCGCCCTAGCGACCCCGTCGCCTACCCCGCGGCCCCGGCGCTGCCCTTCCCGGGCCCCGACGAGGCCCTTCCCGGCCCAGCCCTGCCTCTGCTGGCCCCGTCGCCTAGCCCTGCGGCCCCGGCGCCGCCCTTCCCGGCCCCGATCCGCCGCTCTGCGGACCCGTTGCCTACCCCGCGGCCCCGGCGCCGCCTTTTCTCGGCCCCGACGCCGCCCTTCCCGACCCGGCCCAGCCTCTGCTGGCCCCGTCGCCTACCTTGCGGCCCCGGCGCCGCCCTTTCCCGGCCCCGACGCCGCCCTTCCCGACCCGGCCCCGCCTCTGCTGGCCCCGTCGCCTACCTCTGCGGCCCCGACGCCGCCCTTCTCGGCCCCGGCACTGCCCTTCCCGGCCCCGGCCCCTCCTTCACGCGGCCACGCCGAGCTACTGCCGAGCCGCCAGCGCCACCCGAGCAGCCCGATCAGCCGCGCCGCCTGAGCCGCCCGAGCCGCCGTACTGCCCGAGCCGCCGAGTCCCCCGAGCCACCGAACCGCCGAGCCGCCCGAGCCGCCCGAGCCGCCGTACCGCCGAGCCGCCCGAGCCGCCGAGTCGCCGGGCCGCAGTTACCGCCGAGCCGCCCGAGCCGCCCGAGCCGCCGAGTCGCCGAGCCGCCGAGCTGCAGTTCCTGCCGAGCCGCCGAGCTGCAGTTCCTGCCGAGCCGCCGAGCCGCCCGAGCCGCCCTGTCCGGTAAGAGCAGAGCCTTTGTCAATGCACTGCCCTTACCCCACTGTTCGCGCTACTAGTCTACTGCTGTCATGGCTACCCCTAGTGTCCTCACTTTTGACGCTCAGGGTCGGGCCATTGACTTTGACGTCTGGGTAGATGACCTATAGCATTTCCTACAGTGCGATAGAGCAGACGGTCTCTCCCTATTTGACCTCACCTCTGGTGCCTCTCCTGCCCCTGCTGCTGATGCTGACGCCACTGTTCGCTCACAGTGGGCCACACGCGATGCTGCTGCACGTCTTGCTGTGCGTCGCCACCTGCCTACCTCTGAGCGTGCGCACTTTAGCCAGTACAAGAGTGCTCAGACCCTGTATGACGCTGTAGTTGCACGCTACTCCTCCCCTGCCACTGCTGCACTGAGCCGCCTCATGCTACCGTACCTCTTCCCTGACCTTGCTGCCTGTCCCACAGTCGCTGACCTCATTACGCACCTCCGCACTAGTGACACTCGCTACCGCGCTGCGCTTCCTGCTGAGTTCTGCGCCAAGAACCCCCCCCCCCATGTACATCACTCTCTACTACATCGTCACCCGCCTCCCTGACTCCCTTCGCGTAGTCAGGGACCACTTCCTCTCGGTTTGCCCCACCACTCTCACCGTTGACCTCCTCGAGAAGGCCCTCCTAGCAGCGGAGAAGAGCATAGTCGCTATAGGAGCCTCTTGTGGTGACCCTCGCACCCCCATCTTTGAGGGGTGTTCCCCCTCCCCCCTTTTGCCCTCTGTTGCCTCTTCTCCTGCGGCCGACCTTGTTGGGCTTGAGTCGGTCGGTGCGGCGTCTACCCCTAGCGGGAAACGCCGCCCTGGCAAGGGCAAAGGGGGCAAGGGCGCTGGAGGAGTTAGCGGGGGCGGCGAAGGAGGCGGTGGAGGCGATGGAGGGGGTGGGGGTGGCGGTGGGGGTGGTGGCGGGGGTGGAGGTGTCGGTGGCCGCAGTGGAGGCGAAGGCGGCGGCGGCGGTGGCGGTGGGAGCGGAGGTGGCGGAGGTGGCGGCGGTGGAGGCGGCGCTGGCGGTGGAGGTGGAGCTGGTCGGGGTGGCGCTGCGCAGAGGGTCGGCTCCGGTGGTGGTCAGCGCCAGCAGCAGCAGCAGCAGCAGCGCACTCGTGACATCCCCCCCCCTCAGCAGCTCCGTGAGTGGTACGCTGCACGCCAGCGGGGTGGGGGTATTGGTCCGTGCACCTACGTCCTACGCACCGGCGACCGCGCAGGTGAGCAGTGCGGTGGTGCGCGCTCCACCCAGCGCTGCTTTGGCCGCCTGACGGACGCTTGGCGTCACCAGTTCCCGGAGGCCACTGAGATCCCCCGCTGGGGCGAGCTTTCTAGGGCGGGAGTAGCTGTCTTTGACCTTGACTTTGATGCTATTCTTGCTGCCATGTATGCTGTGACTATTAGTGATGAGGGTGACTGTTACCGGTGTTTTCCGCCCGACCCGGGCATTGAGACTGCTGCTCTAGGTACTGGTGAGGCTGCTACTCTAGGTGCTAGCGAGGCTGCTGCTCTAGGTGCTCAGGCATCTGCTCCCTGAGGTGCTGGTGAGTCTGCTCTCTCAGGTACTGCGTCGGCTTCGGCCTCCCACACCTTCACCCTTGACTCGGGGGCTTTTCGCTCCTTCTTTCGAGACTGCACCACACTCACGCCGCTTGGCCGGCCAGTTGCAGTCTCTCTGGCAGACCCCTCTGGGGGTCCTGTCCTTGCTCACTACTCCACTGTCCTCCCGTGTCCGGCAGCCCCCTCTGGCACCCTGTCTGGTCTTTACCTCCCCTCGTTCTCTACGAACTTGGTGAGTGGTGCTGACCTACAGGATGCGGGGGTTCACCAGTTCACTCCTGCGAGTCAGCGGGTGACCCACTGCACGGACGCTCGGACAGGCCGACACCTGGCCACGTTTACACGTCGGCCGGGGTCGAGCCTGTACACACTGACCACTGAGTCTCCTCCAGTCACTGCGTCTGGTCAGGTAGCGGCGTCGGATCAGGTGTTTGCTGCAGCGTCCAGGTCTGGTCCTGAGTCTGCCCCCTGCTCGTGTCGCCTCCTGTCTCACGAGACTCTCCTCTGGCACAACCGTCTTGGTCACCCCTCCCTGCTTCGTCTCCAAGGCAAGGCCTCCCGTGTCCTTGTCTCTGGTCTTCCATGGTCCCTCCCTCCCCTTCCTCCTGGGCCTGGCCCTACCTGCGTCCCCTGTGTCGAGGGGCGGCAGCGGGCTGCCCCTCACTCCTTC